ATTAATTGCTTCTTCTTTTTTTGGTTTAATCGCGTGGCAGGTATGGTAGGTTATGAATGTTTTGGAGGCAACGAATTAAATGGTTGTTTGATGTGAAACTCGATCATTGCTGGAACATCTGGAATATTTGTATGGGGTGCTAGCTAGCTAGTTCATATGATTTAGTATTTAAATTGCATATTTAAGTTTTGGTATTATTTTTCTCAGAAAAAAAAGAAAAGAAAAGGTTGTGGTATTATAGTCTAGCTAAAGAACTTATACAGTGGGGGTGGTTTTCTTCGAAATTTTCCAAATTCTCAAATAGTACTTATCAATTAGACAAATTCGTCCAGAAGTTGTTTTCCAATAACTCGTTCATCCATTGCAGAAAAATAATTGATTGTCTACAAAGTTGAGATTACAATCAATATAAAATGATACATTTATATATGAATTACCTTCAAAAGAAAAACATTCATATATATATATAACACATCCTTTCTATACAAAGCATCGTGAAAGTGGGTGAGTTGCTCGAATGTTGTTTTGGAATGGGTGCGTTAAGTGTTTTCATGAGCAGCAATGGTTGTATTATATTTGTGGTCTGAAATTATTATAATATTTATAAAATTCTGTTCGAAAAGCTCTTGTGGTCAATTTTGGTAAAATAAGGGTACACAACAAAAAATGATACCTAATGGTACCATGGTACCAACTTGTCATGTTTACTATATTTGATTTGAGATTTTTCTAAAAAAAATTAAGGTCTGTTTGGTATTCAACTTGAATCCAACTTTTTAAACTCAAAACTGAATTTGAGTCCAAAACCAAGAAAACCTATTTGGTAGCCCTATTTTAAAAATTCAAACTCAAGAACAACTAAAAGACACCCCAATTATTAAAAACAAAAAATATCTATTTTTTTAGTTTTTTTTTAACAACCCACAAGTTCTCAAATTTGTAAGATTTGAAAACAGTTTTCAAGTTGCATACCAAACAAGTTTTTGAATCTTAAAAATAGATTTAAGAACTCCTTATTTTTAAGAAAAATAAAAGTTTTTGAGTTCCCTATTTGAATAGGATACGAGACGCCCCCTTAATGGTTTCAAATTAAATTTGTATGGTGTACAGATCTGTAGAGGATATACTTTGTAATGTCCTTTATGTTTCCAAAAAAAAAAAATGTATCATGTTTACTTCACTTTTCTCGGTGCTCATTTTACTTCCAATAATACTCAATCTCATTCTCTTGGACCTCTGTAGTCCAAGGAAACTGTGGTCACTCACCATTAAAGAAAAAACAAGTTTTAAAAATCAATACATTATCATTTTACATTAATTTTAGGCTTAATATCACAAAACGTCCCTAAGGTTTACAAAACTATCAGATTGCATTCTTAATGTTTTTTGTGTCATTCGTGGTCCTCAAGGTTAGTATGTGTGATCACAAATGGTCCATGTCATTAGGTTCCATAAAAAACTCTATTAGTTTGCTGACGTGTTATATCTTGTATATATATCACAAAATATCCCTGAGGTTCACACACTTATCACAAATGGTCCCTGCGAAATTTTTTAATTTTTCAATTTAAAATTCATAAAATTTTGGTTTTCTTTTTAAATTTTTAAAAAATATATATTCTATTTTAAATACACGTGACACTATATTTTTGAAGATGTGAGCTCCATATATATGCCACATCAACAAACTAATTAAGTTTTTTTATAAATAATTTAAAAATAATAAAATTTAAAAATGAAAAAACCATTTATAGAAGATTTTAACCTTGAGGACCATTTATAAACCCTAAACTCTTGGTTTTTACATTTTTAAGTTTTATGAATTTTAAATTATTTTTTAAAAACTCCATTAGTTTAATTTGTTGATGTTGCATATATGTGGAGCCACATCTCCAATAATATAGTGTCACGTGTATTTAAAATACAATATATTTTTAAATAATTTAAAATTTATAAAATTTAAAAAAGAAAACCAAAATTTTATAAATTTTAAATTAAAAAATTGCGCAGGGACCATTTGTGATGGGTGCGTGAACCTCAGAGATGTTTGGTGATATATATATGCCACGTTAGCAAACTAACGGAGTTTTTGATGGAACCTAACGGCAGGGACCATTTGTGATCATACATACTAACCTTGAGGACCACGAATGACACAAAAAAAAAAACAAAAAAAAAATTTAAGGATGCAATTTGATAGTTTCGTAAACCTTATGGACATTTTGTGATATTAAGCCTTATTTTTATTTAACAAAAACTAAAATTAAAAAAGTAAAGGAAAGCAAAACACGCTCCCTGGAGAAAACGAAGAACATGTTCTTGCATCCATCGACACTCACAGCCACCAACTCCGGTTGAAATTACAACAAACTTAGGGAAGTGAGCTCGATGGCCTCAACAGGATCCGATAACTTAGGTGGTGTTTGGGAGTGTGGTGTTTAAAAAAAGGGAGATTCACTATTATACCCAATATAGGAGCCTAAATTATAAAAAAATCCTATATAAAATGGATTTTAAAAACACACCCAAAGCCCATTTACAACATAACAAAAAGGCTTTTAACTTCTTTTAAATTACAAAACTACCATTGATTTCTTAAAACAAACCTAACCTCAAAATCTCATAAAAAAGCCCAAAACACTCAATAGGGTATCAAAGTAATTTAACAATAAAAAATTAAATTCAATAGGACCAGTTGTCATTTTTTGGGTTTGTTTATAGAAATTAAATGGTGTATGGTTTATTTATAGTTTTAGTGCTAAGAATGGGTATATGACTAAATATCTCTTAAAAAAAAGCAGCTTAAAATAAAAAATTTCCAACTAAAAGTGTTTGGTAAACCCAAAAAAACTAGCTTATTTTAAAAACACTCCTCATAAAAAGCGATTTCTCAAAGTGGCCATAAGCCAGCTTTCAAAAGCTACTTAAAAAAAGAGCCGGTTATTTGATTAATGAAAGTTTCATTATTCCTATAATGCCCCTAAATATTTTACAAAATGACAACGTTTGACCCTCTCACAAAATAGATCTCGCGACCTTCACTCTCAAAGTCAGACTGCTCTTCTCACTTTTCTTCTTCTTCCTCCCCCAGCATCTCAAAATTCCAATCTCAATCAAGGAAGTTAATTGCTAATAACAATTAGCTACTCATCAATGAGTTCATCTTTTCGTTACATTTATGATTTTTGGGTTTATATATGTTATGAAATTAGGTTTTTTTTGGTTTCTATGAGATTGGGGGCTTTGTGTTCTTGGGGCTTTAGGGGGAAGACACGAGAGAGAGAGAGAGAGAGAGAGAGAGAGAGAGAGAGAGAGAGTTTTGTGAAACCCTCTGTTCTTGGGGCTTAGCTTGTATTTTCTTAAATTGGAGCAATGCTTTAGAATCGAGGTAGGGATTTCTTGGTGACCTTTTACATAGATTGATCTGATTAAATTTCGTGAGCACTATATTATGCATGGTATTGTTATTATTATTATTATTATTATTATTATTTTATTTTCTCACGAACCGGACGCGGGGTTTCTACGTACCCCGGGTCCGGGGCATGACAAGTTTTGCTCCTAGTTTGTACTAGGTTTGTCTCTCCTTGCTTTTTGGCAAGGTTTTGTTTTCTCCCTAGCTTGGTCTGGAGTTTTCAATTGGCCTTTGGGTCAGATACTTCTCTCTCTGTTTCTCTTTCTCTGAAACATGTCTGTCCTAGATGCCTTTTTTCTCTAGATTACCCAACCATAATTGTTCATAGATTTACTCATTGTATAGTTTGGTACAGTTCCAAAATCTCCAGAACAAAACCCGCTAGGCCAATCTGGTTCTTTATATACATCTACACACACATATATATATATATATGATTGCAACGCAAGTCCCCAAGTCAAGTCCCGTGTTGATTTTTCCGTTGTCCTAACCTTGTTGTCTTCAAGCTCAAACATAATTCCTTTGGACTTTAGTTTTAGTTCTCTTTTAGTTACAAGACAATAAAAGAGTGAAGAAGCCATTAGCTCCAGATTTGCGGGCTTCTCTTTTCTCAAGAATGAAAAGAAAAAAAAAGATCCTGTTCTTTGAAACTGCTGTTCCATCTAAGTCGTCGTCCATTATTGTGTTGGAAGATTTTTGGTAAATAAAGCTTTTATTTTTTAGTGGTCATAATTTCAAGTTCTTCCTTATTATTATTTTTTTAGTGTAAGTGGACTTATTAATGTGTTAGAAGATTTTTGATTGGGTCATGGTTTCAAGCTCTTCCTTTTATTTATATTTTTTGTGTTGGTGGGCTTTATCAAAACTGATTGTAGCATGCTGGTCATTGTGGTGGGGAACTCATAAACTGACATATGGTTGAAATATCAGGAATTTGTAAATTGGTATGAAATTGCATTCTCAGTAAATTATGGGAATGCAATATCATCTTGCCCTAGAACATATGACAGAAACAAAACATTTTATCCACCACACAGACTTAAGAGATTCAATAACACTGTTCCCTAGTAAGCTGGAAATATTGGCTAAGACTATGTGTCATCTTTGTCTCCTCTTGGCAGAATAGGCTAGCTAGGAAAATTATATAGTTGTTGTTCTTATGTCAATTGTCAAGGTGATCAATTTATTTTCATGTGTGGATTCTTCTTGTTCTTGGTTTTCTTTCATGAATCATTAGGAAAACTCCATGCTTCGACTCTTTGTCCCTTGTTGAGATTGAGAAGTGGGTTTAAGGAAGTTTTCTTGGGAGCCATCATCATTTTTAAACATATAGAAGGTGTTGGTATGATATTCTTCAGAATACTTGTGAAAAATATAAACTGTTCAAGTATTGGGCACTTGCAAATAGTTCTTTTAATGCTCATGTTTACAGTAGATAAGTAATCTCTGCTTGTTTCTCTGAAACAAACTCTATCAAAGAGAATAAATAAACGGCTAAACCTAAACAGGAAAATTTCACTTGGATCTTTTTGAAGTGCCAAGTGCAATGTTTTTAAAGATCTTTTTGGTTCAGTGAGATCTTTCAATGTATTAGTTTAAGTTATAAATGATGAGGTGCTTTAACTAAGGAGATCATTAACGTTATATTAATATTAATTAATGCATGATATTACTTAATAGAGACACAAATTTGCTCAGTCTGCTGTGAACATTTGTTTAGCCAATTTTCTTGCCATCTTTTCAAATTTGTGATTAGTTGGTAGTGAATTTTAGCTTAAATGTTAGAAATGCAGGGTACCCATCTTTTGTATTTTCCAAAAGAATGTCATTGGTGTGGTTAGAGATCAGAACAGCAGGATTTTCTGTCCATATTATGTAGGAGTGGTTGGTATAGTTTTGGTGTGCTGTTGGGCTCTTGGTTCTGTTTATCAATTAAGGGGTAATATTTTTTATCGCACCCTTTTTGAAGTCCTATGTACTGGCCTTAGACAAATATTTTGCGGTGCACTTGAAATAGAGTTACAGTATTTGAATACGAGAATAATTCAGAATGGAAGAAGATACACAGGAAATATGATCTTTGGCCTTGACTCCAACATGGTCTTGCTACTGTTTTGACAATTTTTGTTGCTGTTTCTCTGCCTGTGGAGTTCTCTATCCATCGATTCAGTTATGTAACTTATACTCTAGCATTTTTCATGAGGTTTTTGTTTCTCTTTATTGTTATTTAAGTTATTAGACATATATTCTTTTTGGACTGCATCAGCTATAATTGTACAGAATAGTTTTACTTCATTCACTACTTAACTAACTTTGTATTCGTGTAAAAATTCTTTTATGTTCTCCAGTGAACCCAAAATTTATCTATATGTGGACCATGTCGTGTACGCTACCACCTGGTATTGTCCATTTGTGAAAGGCAAAGAACAGAAGAAGAAGAAGAAGATGATGATGATGATGATGATGAGAATGTGCAGCATTTATGAGCAATCACATGTAGCTCCTCTATTTCTAATTATAGTTTAATTTTATGGATATGGTATTTTGTATGGATATAGTTGGAATAAAGATTGGTAAAGTGTGTAATTACTATTGATTCTTCAAGTTTTATGAAAGAAACAATTTTTCAGTATATATATGTATGGTGTGGGCAATAGCATATTTGGACTTGAATTTATTGTTCACAAAGCATAATAGTTGTTTTTTCAATTAAAATCGTTGTAGAGAACCATTGGAAACCAAAAAATGAAGCTAATGAATGCATTGAGAAATAGCATCGCTACAAGTTTAATGAATGCATCTAATTAGCTTTTTTTTATATTGTAGTGATCTATTGGGGCATTTTAAAATTGAACAATTTTTGTATATTTGTTATGTCCGAAGCCCTCAAAAGACATTGTTATTATTAATATAACAATATTTAGAACTACTTTTGTTACAATAGTAATTTATAATTTATGGTAAAATATGTATGCTAATTGTAGATTAAATTTTTTGATAAAAAAGTGTGAATTAAAAAAAGAAAAAAATTTATATGTAGTGAAGTTGGTTTTTTTTTTTTTTTTTTTTTTAAAAGTAGAAAAAGAATGAAGAACATAACAAACAGTTTTATCATCATGTCCTTTTTGATGATTATACACACTAAAAGCACTTCTGATAAAAATTTACTAAACACTTTGACCACTCACAGCAATTTTTCAAAAACAGTTTACCAAACGCCTAATAGCTTTTTTTCACAGCTGATTATTTTCGCAGCACAGCAAAATCAGTTTTTTTTAAAAGCACAGCAACGCCAAACTAGCCCTTACCCATTTGAATGGTGGTGGTTGTTTGGTTTTTTAAAAAACTTATTTTTAATAATCAAAATAGTGTTTTGATGATACGATTATAATTTTTAAATCAGTTTTTTTTCTTTCTCAACCCTTAGATCTAATCTAAGGGTGGTTGACCACAGTTTTCTTGGACTACTGGGGTTCAGGAGGACGGGACTGCAATAATACCATAAGTTATCTTTTCTTTAACAAATTTAAAATAAATAAAAACTTTTCCCCATATTTTGTGAATTAATGACATATTACCTACATCATTTATCTAACACATACTCTCTCACAATAACCATTGCCCTTTTTTTCCCCGATTTTAATTTTAAGTTTTCTACATGTCCTACCCAACAATTATTAATTTTGTCAACCCCTTAAATTCAATAATAATAATAATTTAAAATCAATTAATTTGAGGAATAGCCTAATCGAAAATAAAATTCAGCAGGTACTATTTTTAATGCCCCATCCTCCAATTCATGGGATTTAAATCTTCTAGTCTTATTTCTCCTCTCATTTAAAAAAAAGAAAAAAAAAGAAAAGCAATCTCCCACTATTGAATTCAATTTTGATGTTTCGCGAGTCATAGGCGAATTTCTTTCTTGTGTTATAAACTTTTTAATTGGGCCGAACGGAAAGTTGTTGGGACAAAAATTTGGGGTTGAGTTTAATAACTGACCAACCCACAATTAGGTACATCAAACTCGTCAAAAAGATATATCGTTCTCGTCATCTATGTGAGTTGAACATAATACCGCTATCCAGAAACAATAAGCCTCCAAATATATCATAACTACAATACCACTCCACTGATTAACACTTGATGGAAAATGAAATAATAAGATGAATTCGCAGCTTTAGTCGTACTAGAAGAATAAGCCTCCAAACACTTGATGCCAAACAAGCTAATTAACCAGTATTTGAGATACTAGAAGAAGTCGAAATAGTTCGTCCACTTGTCATAGTCTTTGAAGAAGCCGTACATGTCCTGACCAACAAGCTTTCTAAATTCTTCATGGCTATTAACACATACAAGGCAAGGAAAATATAATAATGTTGAAGCAAAATTTATAATTAATGCAATTGCTTGGGAATTCAAATTGGAATATTAATCTTTGAGGTTTTCCTCAGCAAACTCAAAGCATCAAAGCCAAGATCAAGGTTAAAAAAACAGAAAAAAAGAATACTAATTAAAGATGAAACTACGTACTGACCTCCATGTATTCCGAATCTCTTCCATCTTTTCATCAATCTCTCTAAGTACCGAAACTGTTTCTCTATATGTAGAGATATAATTACATATAAACTCAAAGAAGGCAGCTCCCATCATTCCCAACACCAGATTTGAAATATCTTTCCTTGCCATTAATTTAGATTAGGAAAAATTTAAAGTTGGGTCGATTCTTTTTGGGTAGAGAAAGAAAATTAAGAAGATTTAAACAAGCACTTTGAGTAGCAAAAGTATCTGTGAGGGTTTAGGGAGCACAAGATGAACTCATTTATAAGCTATATATACGTGCGACAAATAAATAAATAAATAAATAAAAATTATTTGTCTTTTCCTTCAAGTAAAGCAAAAGGGCATATCTCGGGCATATATTCACTTTCCCATATATAAATTATTGAATCCATATTTGATTAGGTTTTGTCTCCTTGTAATAGACTGATGTAATTAGGTTGATTTATGAGTCAATTACAATTACTTATTATTGTATAAATATATAACCTTTTTTTTTTTTTTTGGTCTGAAAATATATAACCTCTGTACGTATCACTATCAACCTAGTACGTCATCTATGTGAGTTGAACATAATACCGCTATCCAGAAACAATAAGCCTCCAAATATATCCTAACTACAATACCACTCCACTGATTAACACTTCATGGAAAATGAAATATTTATATTCCTTCTTTTTCCTTTTTTTGGTACTTGTAATTAGGTTAATTAGGCAAAAGATATGGATGCGATGCGATGGACAACCTAGTTGCAAAACTGGAAAGAAAAAAACGGGTAATGGCTAGTGAGCGTGCTTTGTAATGGTAAGTTTAAAATTTTCTTTTCTTTCCTATCAAGAAAATCTTGTTTTCTTGCAAGTGAAGTAAACAAAATAAAAGGAATACATTCCAGGTATTTTATACCGAATTATTTATTATATTTATAAAATACCTGGAATGTATTCCTTTTATTATATATAATATACTCTAGCTTTCGCAACGAAAACCCTAATTTCGCAAACATATATATAATATACTCTTTTTGTAATTGGGTTGTATCCATATATCGAAACTCTATAGCTTTTGCAGCCAAGACGATGATGAAAGAAGAAATCTCGTGGCTTTGCGTAAAGGGAACTTAAAAAGACGAAGAGCGTTTAATCAAAATCTGGAAGAATTGAGCAAGTGCAGGTAGTTTCCTCTTCGTCATATATTATTATATTTTAGTTTCAGTCCAAAGCATTAATTCTTAATATTATGATGCTTTTTTCTGCTATAAAGTTGTCTAATTTAAACTTTTTGTAATTACAATTTGATTTGCAAAATCAAATTTCAATAGGGAGATTATTAGGCGACTGAATTTGAAAAATTATCCTAACAAATAAACCGATCCACACGCCCAAACTTCCCTGGTATGTATTGCTTAATCCTACTTCCTTTGTTATTTTTGTTTTCATTATTTTCATTTCCTGGTATATATGTAATGAATAACATTCATATTGATCTAAATTTGTATGAAAAACACCTGAAGTGCTTGCTTTTTAAATTGGAAGAAGAAGAAAACCTCAATCATACTCAATATCGATATTAAACAAACTCTAGTTTTGTTCTGCCATGTTAGAACTAGTACAACAAGTTATAACTACTGTAACACATATTTATCTTCTTTTAAAATGAAAAAAATGTAAAAGTAAAACGGTAATTAACGGTCTTAATTTCCTACTTCTCACTAATTAGCATTTCGTGTAGTGGTAGTTGTGTTCATTTCGTTGGTACAAGTCTCAAAATCTAATCACATTGAAACGGGAACAATATATTTGTGATGATTTTAAATTTAATACCTAATTCCAGCTAACCCAGCATCATGTAGAAATATGATGAAAACTGTGTAAATCTCAATATGCGTTAGCTTTAGTCTTCTGTGGTAACTCTTTACACCATCCTCTATTTTGAAGTTTTTACAGTCATATTTTTATTTTCCTTAACGCTGGAATCATATTGCAAATAATTAAAAAGATTAGGGTACGTGATTGTTAAAATTGAGAGTGCATGGGCAAATATACCTTAAGGGTGAGAGTTTAGGGTACTAAATTGAGATTAACCATAGAATTAGAATAACAAATCAGTTTGATAAAGATTTTTAATGTAAATCTTAGCTGAATTAATATTTGATGAAAGGGTCAAAATTTGGATGCAAAGAAGCAACCCCAGAACATGGAATCCTTTTATGATAATTGCTTAAAAGTATTAGAGTATGTGATATTAGGGAAACAGTTTACATAATTAGTATTTAGTTAATATGAAATAAATAAATAAATAAAAGATTTAACTTTCATATTACCAGCATCTATTATGAAACTACACTAAACAAACACGTTTTGTTCAACTAAAAAATAAAAATTGGTAGAGTCAACCATGCTGGGCTAGCCCATCAAAACAAAGCTATTGGTCAACTTGGGCTTGACTTTGCAAACTGTTGACCAGTTAACATGGCGGGTTGAGTTGGGTTGAGAATAATAACTTTTGCATAAATAAATAGTTTGAAAGTGTTTGATTTTTTGTTACAAAGAGGGCTAAGCCCAGAGAACCCAAATTTCAAGTCAGATATGCATGAATTGGATCGGATTGAAGCAGCGGAGTGATGGATTATTTGGATTTGCATTGAGAAATTGAAGAATTAGATTTGATTTCGAACAGAATTAGGGTTTTCCAGAGAGAGATTGTTAAAGCTGTGGAAGGGAATGTAGAAGAAGAAGCAGAAGAGAGTTTATTGGGGATGTCGCAACGTTGCGCGAATTTGATGTGCGCCTAAAATGGCGTGCACGAGAGGAGAGGATGGATGCGTGTCGTTTTGGTTTAGTGATCTCAGCCCCATCATTATTCCGACGTTATGTTGGGCTTTTTTTTTCACTGGCTATTAAGACATGGATAACTGGGTTGGTGATAAATTATTCTAACCCACTAGCCTTGAATTTTAGTCACTAATTGGTTTGTCCGTGACTGGTGGTTCTAGATTTTCAACATGTCATCAATTATTTATTTATTTATTTTAAATATAAGCGACAGTCTTCACTTGTAGGGGAGGAGGGTTTTTCTCACACACTACCTAAGTGACATGGAAATTTGAACCGGAGCCACTAGTCTGCAACATCTCATCAAATTTTTTAGATTGGATCAATTTGGTTATGGGTCCAATTGGAGTTTTGTGCTATAATTTACTATTTTTTTAAACAAAAATGAAGTTATTAACAAAATGACATCAATATGACTCTAATTACATGACACGTTGTTGTAAATTCTGAGGATAACAACTTTCATTGCGTCATACTCTAATTTTTGTGGTATGATTGGATTATTGGGTTGGTAACTAGGATGTGAGATCTCACAATAATGCAGATGACTAGACAAGTGATTTGCAACTAGCATAATATGAAGCTTGCATTAATTTCCTTCCCATAATATTATTTAATTGCTTTAAATTAGGATGGTGACTTATTCGCATTCATATCGATCAAGTCACACTCCATTCTTTATCTATTCTTTATAATTGCCTTTTTAACCTGACTCAAAAGTCTCGAATGGGTTTCAAACCCTTACCTCCAACTTACATACTCAACCATTTACTACCACACCAACACGCTTCCTTGTTTAAATATCATATTGCGAATATATTTAATGGGTATTCATTTGGATAAAATTAAAACAATATTTAATTATTAGAGCATCTCCAATGAATATATCAAATTGCCACATGGACATGAAAGGACAAAAATTGAAGGTTAAAGTTACTTAAACTGAATGGCGTGCACGAGAGGAGAGGATGTATCGTGTTTAGTTGACATTTCGCAATGCTCATTTTACTTCCAATAATACCGTTGGTTATATTTTCTTTAACAAATTTAAAATAAATAAAAACTTTTCCCCGTATTTGCCATATTTGGTGAATTAATGACATATTCCCTACATCATTTATCTAACACATACTCTCTCACAATAACCATTGCCCTTTTTTTCCCCGATTTTGATTTTAAGTTTTCTACATGTCTTACCCAACAATTATTAATTTTGTCAACCCCTTAAATTCAATAATAATAATAATCTAAAATCAATTAATTTGAGGAATAGCCTAATTGAAAATAAAATTCAGCTGGTATTATTTTTAATGCCCCATCCTCCAATTCATGGGATTTAAATCTTCTAGTCTTATTTATCCTCTCATTTAAAAAAGACAAGAAAAAGAAAAAGAAAAGCAGTCACCCACTATTGAATTCAATTTTGACGATGAAATCAGTTGCTTTTCTTTCGCGAGCCATAGGCGAATTTCTTTCTTGTGTTATAAACTTTTTAATTGAGCCAAAAGGGAAGTTGTTGGGACAAAAATTTGGGGTTGAGTTTAATAACTGACCAACCTACAACTAGGTATATCAAATTCGTCAAGAAGATATATCGTCCTTATCATCCACGTGAGTTGAACATAAAACCGCTATTCATATATATATATATTAATGCAAAAACAATAAGCCTCCAAATATATCCTAACTACAATACCACTCCACTGATTAACACTTAATGAAAAATAAAATAACAAGATGAATTTGCAGCTGTAGTGGGAGTGATGCGCGATATTTGAGACACGAGAAGAAGTCGAAATAGTTCTTCCATTCGTCATAGTCTTTGAAGAAGCCGTCCATGTCCCGACCATCAAGCTCTATGAATTCTTCATGGCTATTAAGACATACAAGGCAAGGAAAATATAATAATGTTGAAGCAAAATCTATAATTAATGCAATTGCTTGGGAATTCAAATTGGAATACTAATTAAAGATAAAACTACGTACTTACCTCCATGTGTGCTCAATTTTGTGATAAAAATTCTAATGACTTGTTCATCCATTGCAAAAAAATAATAGATTGTCTACAAAGTTGAGATTACAATCAATATAAACTGATACATTTATATATCAATTATCTTCAAAGGAAAAACATTAATATATATACTCTTTTTTTTTTATGTGTGTATATAACTCATCCTTTCTATACAAAGTATTTTGAAAATGGGTGCATTAAGTGTTTTCGTGAGTGGGAATCAATGGTTGTATTATATTTGTGGTTTGAAATTATAATATCCATAAAATTCTCTTTGAAAAGCTCTTTTGGTCAATTTTGGTAAAATAAGGGTACACAACAAAAAATGATACGTAATGGTGCCCTGGTACAAACAAGTCATGTTTATTATATTTGATTTGAGATTTTTCCCCAAAAAATTAATAATTGTTTCAAATTAGATTTGTATGGTTTCAAAGAAATGTCATCTTAATTTTTCAAAATCGATGATTTGTCATCTAAGTTAAAGGCCCTCCGATGCCTAAGTTAGGTTGAGTGTTTGTAGGAAAACCGGGTGACCGGACCCTTATGTGAGGGAGAAAGGGTTTTGGTGGCTAGGGTTTGTGAGAGAGAATTTCTGCATAGTTTCAGTATGAATTTAGATGTACCTTAATCCTTGTGCGTGACCAAGTATTTATAGGAGCCTCGGAGGCTAGGGTTTCGGAAGAATAATTCCACAGATGGAAAGGAATTATTCTTCCCTGATTTGGTGTAACCGATGTAATTAGGGGAAGAATCAAATACATCCCATTTAAATCAAATAACCTCCCAATTAAATTAGGTAACTCCCAATTAGGTCAAATAATTCCCCAAATTGATTGGCTTAATTATTTGACCTAGGATATTTGCTTCCACAACCCTCAAAAACGTATTGCATGGTTGGTGTTTTAAATTGTATCGGCACAAGTTGCCCTACTCTTTGTTTATTACTTTCTTAAATTATATCGTAAAGTGAATATATGCCCGGGATATCATTTGTTTTTGATTGAGGGAAAGAAAAGTAATAGTTTTTGTTAATTGGAAATGCCCATTGTAATAGTTTTGGTTGGACAGCCAAATCTTGGGTTTCAAATCTCCACATAATATTTTTAAAATAAAGGAAATTAGATTTCACCCTTAGATAAGATTTGTTTTTTTTTTTATAGAAAAGAAATAAATAATGTTGTACACCGTTAGATAAGATTTGTATTTACCGAAAGAGACAAAGACAGCCATTGAAGTTCTTGAGTTTGTAAAAGTTGTGGATTGTTTTCCAAATGTCTCAATTGCTTCTAGAATTATATTGACTCTGCCAGTAATTGTGGTATCTACAGAAAGAAGTTTTTCAAAATTAAAATTAATAAAATCTTATTTGCGATCAAATATGTCACAAGAAAGGTTAAATGGATTGGCAATCTTATGTATTGAAAAGAATATGTTGGAAAATATTGATTTTGAAGAGGTTATTGATGATTTTGCTTCTCAAAATGCTAGAAGATCAAGAATTTTTCAGTGATTGTTTGTATTTTTAATGTTACTGCTTTTGTTTTTTGATTTGTAGATGATGGAGTGGACGTCAAAGCAGCTTTTTGTGTACAATTGAGCCACTTGAGAACTAAGCCCTATTGAAGAGCCACTAAGCCACTTGAGAACTTTTGTTTTGTTTTGTTGAAATTTTAGAAGCTCTATGAACCTAAATATGATTTTTGTTGTATATGGATCATGTACTTTTGGTTTGTTTTTCGTTAGTTGAATGAAATTATTCTATTTAGCAGGCTTAGTTGTTTTCTGGGACTTTGCCCCCTATTCATAAAATGAAAAAAGAATGAGCAAATTCAAGCAAAACATATATCTGAGGGCCTCATTTAATTTTCGGTCATGAGCCACCAAAATGTCAGGGCCGGCCCTGGTTGGAGTATGCACAGTCACCCCATCACTTAATATTTAGCGAAACAAATTGTGAGGATCATGTATGTCGACATAGAAGGGTTTTATGATTCCAAAGTATTTGAGATTTGGGTCCAACTTTATCATTCTCAGTTTTTTGTTTTAAAATTTTGACGAAATTGGCAGTTGTGTAGTCTTTGAATGAGGTGATTGACCCTCAAAAACGTATTACATGGTTGGTGTTTTAAATTGTATAGTCACAAGTTGCCCTACTCTTTGTTTATTACTTTCTTAAATTATATGGTAAAGTGAATATATGCCCGGGATATGCTCATTTGCTTTTTGATTGAAGGAAAGAAAAGTAATAGTTTTTGTTAATTGGAAATGCCCATTGTAATAGTTTTGGTTGGACAGCCAAATCTTGGGTTTCAAATCTCCATATAATATCTTTAAAATAAAGGAATTTAGATTTCACCTTGTTTTTTCAAAAAGAGAACAAATTAATGTTGTACAGACTGAGGTAATTAGCTAGCAGTTGACCCAAAAAAGAAGAAGGGGAAATTAGGCTGGCTAAACTTTTACATAGGAAGGCAGGGTGTACAGTGGGTTTGTCTTGGGGCCCACCCAAATTAAAATTCACAGCACCACGCAAACAGTACATAATATACATATATATATATATATATATATTAATTCCTTAGACAGCAGTAAATAACAAACTTTTCACTTAGCATTTACATATCAAAATCCAATGCCGGTGAAACTCCCAAAAGTACCCCTTACAAATGCTGGTGAAATCTGCTCAAGTGAACAGAGCATGCTTAAATATTTAAGAAGATCAAATGGAGACTAAGCAATTTCAATTGACAGTTGCAGAGAAAACAACAAAGATTACCCTTAGCAAAGGGATTCCCACTGAAACCAAGGTCCATAGAAATGCTATCTAGTGTCTCATTAACCACTCTGCATTAGCAAAAACAACAAAGAGTATGCTATATATAAGTTAGAAAAACATATAAATAAGAAAAACAGAAAAGGAAATCTGAGCTTCAGGATTAGGGACGAACCCGAGATGGTAGCCAAATAAGAATGTAAGAAAGAGTTGCCACAAGCATATGAGGCAAAGAGCGTCTCCATGAAGGGTTTCCAATACCTTTTGCATTCACTAGACCTACTAAAACCCATACAAGGAATCAGCCCCAAGTGGGTACCATTTATGGTAGTATGTTGGCACTTCAAACCAAATTATCAAAGACTAATGAAACTTCTAAATAGTAATATATAACCAATACAGGAACTTCCAGTCACAAAGTAAACAGAGAAAACGCTAAAGCGGTGTAATACCCCAGATATAGGAAAATTAAAATATAAAATTAGTGAGAGAGCAATCCAGATGTACCCGAACTTTCTTCTCTATCAAAAGCATTGATATGGTCCTTCGACGCCACACGCTTGTATGCCGAGTAGGCATCGAGATGACAACCCCAGACCAGCTCCAAGAGAAATCATCAAGACAAACCTGCATAAACCATTTGATAATAAAGAGTCGGCATTTACAAATCAAAAACAGCTCCTATGCATATTTGCTTTAGTATTTCAGAGTCATGTAAAGATAGCATGGGGAATTGTAAATGTGCAGGCACAATGAATTAAATTAATAAACTTAATAGTTTATGCTGAAATTGTGCATAGCATTATTATATGATATTTCACTCAATCATGTCAAACTTCTATTATATCATGTGGAATTAGGTTTGAATCTAGAAAAAAAAATAGCTTACCAACATGCATTCATGTTTACATTTTTAATCCTCCCAGGGAAAGACCCATTTCAAAGATTCCAAAACTATTCAATGTGCTGCCAATGCCATAACCTAGCATTGTTTTCTTCTTTATTTTATCTTTACATATTATAACATAGTTTTCTGTCTTTTCTAAAACAAGGTTGAACAGGATTGACTACTCACAGCAGCAGCATGCCACCAACCAACCGATAGACTCAATGCTCCAGATCCCGATGCATAAGAACTTGCTCCAGTTACTTGAAGACCCATTGCCACTGCCTAAACCAAGAAATGCACAAAAGGTTATATAACGTCAGTTTTCTAGTTTATTTCATCCAAACAAAAAGGAAAAAACCTGAGTAGGAGGAAATGCAATATTGGTAAGACAGATACCACACAACAGACATAACTGACAGTTCTGATACCAATATTTCAGCTCAAAAGTTTGCATCAAATATTCAGTGTTTTTGGGAGCCTACCATGCCAGAAAAACTTCCAAGAAGAAGCACCTTTCTTCCAGGCTTATCCATCAAGATCATTGCAACAACTGACCCTAGAATAGCATAAAGAAACCGACCAAGAGATAAAAATAATAGTACAATGAATACATGAGGAAACAAATAAGTATATAATCTCAAAGATGCACAAATAAAATGCTTGAGAGTAAACCCAACCATACCAGATAGATTCGCGATCCCAACACATATGTTTGCCAGATCTGAAGGCGCCCCAAAGCTTTTAAAGACGGTCGAAGAGAAATAGAATACAGTATTTATGCCTGATAGCTGTTGTAAAGCAAAAATGGTAGACCCAATGAAAACCACTGCAAAATATGGAGGCGCTAAGGTAATCACGCAGAAGGAAGCACATATGTCAAATCTAAATAAATCATATATTAATGTGAATTAAAAATATACTTTTGAAATGTCGGCCATACAGTAGCTGTGAGAACTTTACTGCCTCAAGTTCATCCCCCCTCTGTCAGACTTTGACAATTCTGCTATTGCAAATTTAACATGTGCTGCTCCTAAGAGTTTCTCAAATTCAGCTTCAGCTTCAGTGCCTCTTCCTCTCTGAACCAAGTCAGGAAAAACTGTTAGCATCAATGTTGATATATAGCCTTCAATGGGTCAAAAATAGAATGAAACGCATTATATCTGACTCATACCTAGAATTAGCAGTTTGACAAATTATCACAGCTCTTATAATCCTTGTATAATATCACCAAAAGGCATGCGTATATGGGAGAAAAAAACAAGAAAGAAAGATTGAAGCCTGTTGCACCAACATATAATTCTGAGCACTAACATCCAACATTTCCGATAAAAGAGAAAATGAACCTTCTCTCTACTGGAAACAATAGAGAAAGAGAAGGAAAAATAAAAGAAGAAATTAAAAGAATTACCCTTTAAGCCAGAACTGGATTACGAAACGCAATTATCAATCAGATCACTCCAGATTTATATACAAACTGGATTAGGAGATGACATACATGATAATCAAATGAATTATACTAGACAACAGGTACATTCATACCAAATATACATACATACATATAAAATATATTAATTCCTTAGACAGCAGTAAATAACAAACTCTTTTACTTAGTATCTACATATCAAAATCCAATGCCCCTAAAGCTGCAGAGATCTCAACCAATTCAAGACCAACAAATAGGAAAAGTTATATTGAACTGAACACAAGACACTAACTTGACCAACTGTTTTAAAGATTGGTGATTAAGAAATGAGAGCACAAAACCTTGAAAAGCCACTGACCAACCATAGAAATGCTATCTAGTGTCTCATTAACCACTCTGCATTAGCAAAAACAACAAAGAGTATGCTGTATATAATTTAGAAAAACATATAAATAAGAAAAACAGAAAAGGAAATCTGAGTTTCAGGATTAGGGACGAAAAGAAAATTCACAATAACAAAAATTAATAGGAACATGAAAAGAAAATTCATTTAATTTTACTTTCTCTAGCATTTATAACTGACTATACTATTTTTAGTAATTCTAATATATCTATATTTTTTTCAAAAGAAAATTGCTAAATCATACCATTTCCGGCCATCATCATGCCTCTGCTTCTGTTATTTCGGCTCCAGCAGCTGAACTTGCTCCCTACACTGCAGCTTGATGCTCCCTATCAACCAAGAAGCTCAGAATATATAAACCACAATATTTGTGAATGGGAAGAACAAATAGAAGAGGGAGAAGAGGGAGAAGAGAGAAAGAGAGAGATCGAAGGGAAGAAATGAAGAAATTTTTGAAAACTTTGAGTGATATACCTGAGGTTGTTGAGGGGTTCAACCAGGTGCTTGAGAAATTAAATTCTGAGCTTCCTCAGATGTTCCAGAAATATAACAGGGCTGTGAAATTCATGGAGAAAAAATCCACAATTATGTCTGTTTGGGTGGGTGCTGCGACTACCGTTTTGTCTTTTGCTGTGACTGCGGGTTCTTGTTATAGCATGGCAAGAGCGATGGCTGCAAGTGAGAAGAGAGGTGCGGCTGCGGCAGAGGCAGAGAGAGGTGCGGCGGCGGCAAGGAGAGCAGGTGGAGCAGCCCCTGCTGCTCCAGGACTGCTCGGGCTCCTGAGAGCTGGAACGCCTGCGACTGCGGCCGTGGCAGCGGCAGCGGCAGCGGCAGTGATAGCGAGAGCAACGGAGGAAGCGGCGGCGGAGGCGGCGGCGGCGGCGGCAGAGGCAGAGGGAGCGGCGGCGGAGGCGGAGACAGAGGGAGCGGCGGCGCCGGAGACAGAGGGAGCGGCTGGTGCTTCTGCATCTATCTAGTAGCCACCCAACTATCTAGCATCTATCTAGTTTCTGATTATCGTTCTGTAATCTGTTCTTCAACTTCAATGAACTTCAAATATTTTTGGGTCTTATTGGTATTTTCTTTTAAACGAAAGTGGAAAAGGACGACCCAAAAAAAAAAGGAATTACGCTGGCATACAATATATATATATATTACACGGACACGGACAATTCGAAAATGGCTTTTCTAAATGCTCATTTTACTTCCAATAATACCATTGGTTATCTTTTCTTTAACAAATATAAAATAAATAAATAAATTCCCCTTATTTTGTGAATTAATGAAAAAGAATCCTTTACAATTTGCTTTTCTCTGTCTTTTCTTCCTTTTGACTCTTTGGTCCTGACAGTTGCAAACATGACAAGGCTTAAAGTTCTTAATCTCAGGTGGAACATCATCTGGGGTACCATATCTCAATGGTTGTACACTTGTAGCAATCTTGAGTCCCTATCCCTTTATTTGAATCTCTTGCGAGGTGAAATTTCAAGTTCCTTTGGAAACTTGATAGCCATTGTCAATCTTGACTTGTCTGCTAATCAACTTGAAGGGAAAAAATCCCAAGCTCATTGGGAAATCTTTGTAAGTTGACGGTTTTGAAAAAAAATATCCGGAGTATAGCCGTATTTATAAAAAAAGGCCCCGCCTGGCGCCTAGCGCCCTTTTAATAAAACCGTGAGTATAGCCGCACGGCTGTACTATTTGTATTATAAAAAGAAACCCGCCTGTCACCTAGCGCCCATTTCTTCACGTGTCAAAAATAGTATAGCCGCGTGGCTATACTATTTTATATAATAAACAAAGTAAAGCCGGTAGTATAGCCGGGCGGCTATACTTTGTTTATTATGAAGCAAATATAGAGGATGAAGATCAAATGATACTAGCTGCTTGGGCAGATGGTTGCTATAAGCAAAATAAACTGCAGATGCTATTGGAGAATGATAATTATGAGGCAATGGATGACATCAAAATGACGGAGAAGTTAGTGATGATCGCGTTTTGGTGCATTCAAGAAGATCCATCACTTAAACCACAAGGATAAAAGTGGAAAATCCGGCAAACTAGATAGACCAAAAATGATTTTGCCTTCACTTGTTGTTAGGCAATATCACTTGTGGCCTAGATTCAAGTCCCGCTGCCAACAATTTCCCTCAGTATTCCATGGCTTTGGGATGGGGTACAAATTATCATAGCTCTTATAATCCTTGTATAAATATCAACAAAAGGCATGCATATATGGTGGAAAAAACAGAAGAAAACAAAAAAACAAAAAAAAAATAAAGATTGGAGCCTGTTGCACTAACATATAATTCTGAGCACTAAAAAGAGAAGTGAGTCAAATATACATCTAGCTTCTAGCTAAAGAAATAGCACAACGATTCATTCAGCCCTTGCAAAAAAACTATCAATAAGCAAGCATTGCACTTGCAAGTTTCTTAAATAGAAACACAAAATCAGGAGTCTTTTACTAATTGGGGTTACATCTCATAATTCTATTTCACATAACCACAGAATTTTCTCCTCGGACTCGAGCCATGTATAAGTGAAAGTTTTTGTCACCCCGTGAAAGTTTATCCCTTTTTATGCTCTTCTTCTCTCAACTGCGGGTTATTTTTTTGTATGTTTATACTGTGATTTTCTTACAATTTCCATGGTTTTTATTCAATTTTTACCGATACCGATAATATCCCGATATTTCCATCGACATTTTCGTGTTTTTGGACTTCCAATATTTTTAATACCATCGATATTTTAGACCTTGGTTTCAAATCTCCATATAATATCTTTAAAATAAAGGAATTTAGATTTCACCCTTAGATAAGATTTGTTTTTTCAAGAAAAGAAAAAATTAATGTTGTACAGACTGAGAGGTAATTAGCTAGCAGTTGACCGAAAAAAAAAAGGGGGAAATTACGCTGGCTAAATTTTACATAGGAAGGAAGGGTGGGTTTGTCTTGGGGCCCACCCAAATTAAAATTCACAGCACCGTTGGCATACAATATATATATATATATATATAGAGAGATATATGTATATATATATATATAGATATATGTATATATATATATATAGATATAGATATATGTATATTGAAAATGGGTGAGTTGGTCGAATGTTGTTTTGGAATGGGTGCGTTAAGTGTTTTCGTGAGCAACAATGGTTGTGTTAATTATTATATTTATGTTCTGAAATTACTATGTTTATAACACTCCTAAAATACACCAATTTTCTTAAAACATCCTTTAATTGACATTGAAAGAAACGAATAAGTGGAATGGGTCACGTAGGCAATTAATGAAAAGTTTGATGGTGAAGTTAACGCTGGAATCATATTGCAAATAATTAAAAAGATTAGGGTACTTGATTGTTAAAATTGAGAGTATAGGGGCAAACATACCTTAAGAGTGAGAGTTTAGGGTACTAAATTGAGATTAACCTTAGAATTAGAGTAACAAATCAGTTTGATAAAGATTTTTAATGTAAATCTTATCTGAATTAATATTTGATGAAAGGGTTAAAATTTGGCTACAAAGAAGCGACCCCTCAAAATGGAATCCTTTTATGATAATTGCTTAAAAGTATTAGAGTATGTGATATTAGGGAAACAGTTTACATAATTAGTAGTATTCAGTTAATATGAAGAAAGAAAAAAAATTTAACTTTCAAATTACCAGCATCTATTATGAAACTAAACTAAACAAACACATTTTGTTCAACTAAAAAATAAAAATTGGTAGTCAACCATGCTGGGCTAGCCCTTCAAAACAAAGCTATTGGTCAACTTGGGCTTGACTTTGCAGGCTGTTGACCAGTTAACATGGCGGGTTGAGTTGGGTTGACTTTTCTTAATGCTCATTTTACTTCCAATAATACCATTGGTTATCTTTTCTTTAACAAATATAAAATAAATAAAAAAATTCCCCTTATTTTGTGAATTAATGACATATTACCCCTTAAATTCAATAATAATAATTTAAAATAAATTCATTTGAGGAATAGCCTAATCGAAAATAAAATTCAGCAGGTACAGTACATAGTTCTTACCAATTATACAAAACAAATAGTTCAATCAATGCAAACCCAAAAAAATTAAGCGCAAGTAGCATGGCTTCCAATCCAATTAACGCAATCTGTGTTTGAGGCGTGTTCGCATGTCTGCATCTCCAACTCCCCAACACTTCGACTTGATGGAGTGTCAGTGCTACATAGGATGGACCAATCATATTGAATTAAAAAATAACTATAGTATTTATGACTCCCTAAACTAGGGAGTATGATTAGAGTTCAAATTTTATAAAGAGCTCCTAAAATAACTTTTGTGTGTTTTTAGCTAAATTTTAACTGAAAAATAGAGAGAATGATTGTAGATGCTCTTACACCTAGCTGCTTGCAAACAGGGACAAAACCAGTATACATAAAATAATTTGCTTGAAATATTTTATGTTGGATCTCCATCCTGAGAACCATATGATATACAAATAAATAACAAAGTTTTATTTTTTATTTTTTTATTGTATATATATAGCAAGTGGAATAAATCAACAAATGTTTTTTGTTGTTGGAAAATGGTGCTAGCTGGCTGGAATCTGTATGTAAATACCAATTAAAATGAGCTTTACCTAGAAATATTTTGTTGGCTTTGACCTATAAAAGGAAGGATTGACTCACCCCTAACGAGGATAAATTAAGTATATGTGTTATGTTACTCCAATTGCTAAGATCTTGTTGGAATTCACCAGGCTGTTGGTAAAAGGCGCCCTAGGAAATGAATAATGAAGGGATCTAATCCAATTTTCATTGGTTAATTATTTATACAGTTATAAAATTTCGAAGCCCAAATTAGTGGCCCACCCTTTCGTCAAGGATTTCAATTTAATTTTTGGTCATAGACTATCTCAAAGTTGAACACTCCGAACCGTCCACTTGTTTACCGAGGGGTTTACCTCAGTGGTGAGGTGCCTCTCCCTTCCCCACCTTGGTCACCAGTTCGAATCCCAAGAAAAGTGCCCCCTTCCCCAATGCAATGTATATATCGCTAATAAATAAAAAAAGCATTATGTCATCTAACTATGATAAAATATAGAGACAAAAACACTAGCTAAATCAGATACAATTTGTTGTCTATACTAACGTGTTCATTTATTTATATATAGTTTTTTTTTATATCAAGGATGTCCTTTTAAAAAAATATTTCCTTTATAGGGCTACCCCATAAATGCAATCAAACTGATTAAAAAATAACTATAGTATTTATGACTCCCTAAACTAGGGAGTATGATTAGAGTTCAAATTTTATAAAGAGCTCCTAAAATAACTTTTGTGTGTTTTTAGCTAAATTTTAACTGAAAAATAGAGAGAATGATTGTAGATGCTCTTACACCTAGCTGCTTGCAAACAGGGACAAAACCAGTATACATAAAATAATTTGCTTGAAATATTTTATGTTGGATCTCCATCCTGAGAACCATATGATATACAAATAAATAACAAAGTTTTATTTTTTATTTTTTTATTGTATATATATAGCAAGTGGAATAAATCAACAAATGTTTTTTGTTGTTGGAAAATGGTGCTAGCTGGCTGGAATCTGTATGTAAATACCAATTAAAATGAGCTTTACCTAGAAATATTTTGTTGGCTTTGACCTATAAAAGGAAGGATTGACTCACCCCTAACGAGGATAAATTAAGTATATGTGTTATGTTACTCCAATTGCTAAGATCTTGTTGGAATTCACCAGGCTGTTGGTAAAAGGCGCCCTAGGAAATGAATAATGAAGGGATCTAATCCAATTTTCATTGGTTAATTATTTATACAGTTATAAAATTTCGAAGCCCAAATTAGTGGCCCACCCTTTCGTCAAGGATTTCAATTTAATTTTTGGTCATAGACTATCTCAAAGTTGAACACTCCGAACCGTCCACTTGTTTACCGAGGGGTTTACCTCAGTGGTGAGGTGCCTCTCCCTTCCCCACCTTGGTCACCAGTTCGAATCCCAAGAAAAGTGCCCCCTTCCCCAATGCAATGTATATATCGCTAATAAATAAAAAAAGCATTATGTCATCTAACTATGATAAAATATAGAGACAAAAACACT